GTGAACCAAGGGGCCAGTTGAGACCTACGCCGGGTCAGAGGCCGCAGCGGCACGACTCGGTCCAGTGCTGCGGCTGCGGCCACATCCCAGGCCGCAGCCTGGTGTTCCGCCGAGTCGTGACCTAGCTCCTCAGGATATGGCCCAAGCTCCGTCAGAAACCCCTCTGGGTCCATCAGGCGCCTGGGACGGAACCATCTAGTATTTCTCTTTTAGAGATGAATGAAATATGCAGGATAAGAATCAGGTGTCCTCTTTTTATCCCGGAGAAGGCTTTGATATTGTTTTTTGGATGATTTACTTTCTGCAATTTTAAATACAAAAGACACTTGACAGAGTTTTGGCATGATCTCTTTTGCAGATTGTGAACCCAACAGCATGACCCAGGATGACTATAAAAAGGAAAAAGTACAGCTCCACACCATGTATTTGCAGCTTCACAATAAAAGACAGGTGATTCAGCTAGCTTCTTTGGAGAGCTGTGACTGTTTGTTTGTCTAATTAGTAGGCACTTTGTGATAGATTTTAATCTATCATGAGCTTTGGAAGTCATTGGGTGCCTTTAAAGCATCTGTTGCCTCTCAGTTCAACCTAAGCATTATTGGGAGAGGATGTATAGTATTATGATTGTCACCTTCAGCTATAGGAAAATGAGGATATACACACCCAATGAAATTCATTTGGAGGTGGATGCCACAGAGTAACAGTGTTCTTTTTGAACTGAAGTCAACCTTGTTTTTACAAGGGTGGCAACTGGCACAAACCAGTGGAGGCCTTTCTTTACTATTTACAATGAGGGCTTTTATCACAAGTATTAACATAGTTTTGATGTTATTATTAAAGTTTTGGTGATAACCGTTGGTCACCCGGTATCAGCTTTTTCCTCCTAGGTCTCACTCACAGAGACTGTATTTCCCTCTAGTTCTCCTGCTAGCTATTTTGTTTCCTTCCCCCTTTTATTCCAACTCTCTCCCTCTTCTGAGTTTAACAAGAAAGAAAGTAAAAGGGATGGGCTGGAATTGTACTGTTCATGTGCTTGGCATGGCTTGACCTTCTGCTCAGCAGAACATCTACTGTTTCTCCATTGAGGAAAGAACTTCTCTCAGGGTCTTCTGCCTAATCCTTTTCCAGAGACTGCCAGGTCACTCCTTCCCTTTTGGAATGGAGCTTTTGTCCCTCTAGGTCTTCACTTTTTGAAGCCATCTGTGGATCTTTGTTCCCCCTTCCCAACAAGGAAATAGCAACTACTTCTCAGTCTTAACTTCCTTCTAGCCACTTGATTCACTCCATGCAGTCCTGTCGTCTCACTCCAATTTTTAGCCAGCAGCATGTCCCCCAGCGTCTGAGAAAGGTGGTTGTTCTAGTGGTCTAGTCCCCAACACCTATATACCAGGCTTGACCACTGGGACTTAGCATCTCACCACAACAACCCTGGCTAGCAGCAAGATTGGTTGATCAGCCCTTGTGAGAGAACAGCTGCTGTTCAAGGCCACCACTAAGCAGCTCTCCCCTTGTACTCACTCAGGCCAACAAAACAGCAGCCATATCAGGCCACTAAAATCTATTATGCCACCCTTGCTGTTCTCCAGTTTAGTGTAGAGGGTAAGTTGCCCTTGACAGAGGTAAGCCAGATCCATTACCAAAGCAACAAGTGGGAAAACATGGCTTAAGTCAAAAACAAGCAGAAGATAATGTGAAAGCAGTTCAGGCGGTCAGTACCTTATTTCACTTGAAAATAGGGGTGAGGCAATAAAGCTCGATCAAACTTACAATATTCTATTAACAATAGCTAGTATTTTAAAAAAAAATAGTATAGCCTTCCTGTGGAGTTGATTTCTTGCTTTGTCTACTTAATGGGGCTGACAATTAGAAATTTAACAGTCATTTAGGCTTCCCCCCGACTTCCATTTCTGCCTTATTTATTGATGTCACTGTTCTATCCACTGCTGCTTTTGGCTGCCACATCTTAAAAAAAATGAAAGGTTCTTTACTTTGCAGGTAGACCTTTAGCTCCTCTTGTTTGTTAGTATTCCACAATTCAGTCAAGAACTTAGAAGATATACATAATGCTTCTTCCTTGTGTTATTTCCACATAACAGTCCTATCAAGTAGGATTGAATCTGCAACCTGCCTTTTGGATGCATTTATTACAGCACAAGTATGTTCTTTGGCTCAAAACCTCAACATCCCCCCTGTATCCTAGCAAATTCCCACATGTGAATGTTAGAGCTCTTTGGGTTTTTTTTTTAACTGAAGAGATACATTCCTTGACATATCAAATGGATCTTGCCAGGATTGATTTAAAATGTCAAGTAATAGCTTGAATATGCTTCTTATTGGATTCTCTCTAGGACGTTCTACGCTTGATATCCTCTTCGTTGCCTGTGATTGAAAATACCCAAAATGCTCTGATAACAGAAGAGCTGGTTGAATGGAAGCATCGACAGCAGATTGCTTGTATCGGCGGCCCACCCAACGCTTGTCTAGATCAGCTTCAAAGCTGGTAGGTCTCTGAAGCACAGTAAGTGCAATCAAGAATTTTCAGAATGAATTCAACCAGAAGGGGGAAAGTACCTGAACATTTTTATATAAAACTACCCAAGGAATCCAAGGTCCAAACAGTTATATGTTTGATTCTAACATACCATGAATGCTCTGAGGCAAAGGCCTTAAGAGCCTTGTAAAGTTAGTGTTGCCCCTAAGCAATTAAGACTGCTGGTTTCTGTACTTGTTACCCCAAGGAGAAATGTAACAATCTTCATATACAATCATTGTAATTATAGGTTTACTACAGTGGCTGAGAGTCTTCAGCAGATTCTTCAACAGATTAAAAAACTGGAGGAGCTGGAGCAGAAATTCACCTATGAAGCTGATCCTATTACCCAACAGAAGAAAGGGCTGTATGATCGGACATTAATTCTCTTCAAGCAGCTCATTCAAAGGTATTTTTTTCTTGTGTTCCTCATTTAGAAAAGTGTTTACGTTCTATTTCATCTTTCCATCCAAGCTGAAGAATCTCTTTTCTCTCATCTTGCTGATTAAATTATTTGGTTGAAATGTGAGCAGTCGCATGATTCCCAGAAAGTCTGTGCAGAACTCTCTAGTGAAATATTTTTTGTTTGAAATCATGCAGTTTTGTTTAAATTAGTTTAAATTTTTAGTTTTAAATTTCAATTTAAAAGGATATCTCTCATACTGTCAGTAATTTCCTTGCAAGCTACAGAGAGCCTTCAAAATCTCGAAAGGCTAGAAAATGCCAAAGAATTGTGATGGGACGGACCAAGCTTCCCCAACCTAGATAAAAATTTGTGGATTGGGAAAAGGTTGGTTTAGAGAACTATGGAACTGTATTAATACAACTTGATTTTAAATTATATTTTTTTATTTTTAACTATTTAGATATTATTGTTTATAAATTTTGTCCATAGCATGCTAGGTGTCTGTTTCAAATAAATAATTCAAAAATAAAACCTTTTGCCTCTTTTTTTTAAAATAAATGTTCATATTTGCATTATGGAAGATTGAGGTTTTGTTCATTTTTGGCATAATATTCTGTTCCCCTTTTGAAACAATTCAACTGTCCATTTTTTTTTTCTCTCCAGCTCCTTTGTTGTAGAAAGGCAGCCTTGCATGCCTACTCATCCTCAGAGACCATTAGTTCTGAAGACTGGAGTACAATTTACAGTAAAGTTGAGGTAATTTGTTTTATACCTGATGTGATTAATGTATGGTGGTTTTCTAAGAACTTTAAAGGAGGTGATTAATTCCAAACTAAAGTAACAGGAAAAAAAACCTCCCTCAGGTCAAGTTTGATCCGTCCAGGTTTACAAAAATGATTTGCCACTGCTTTCTTTTTATTTTTATGATTTCCTGGTTTAGCCGGTTAGGAAGAAAAATATGCCACATCTTAACAACATACTGAAGAAAAAGTGCTTCTCAATAGAATATCATTTTAAATTCAATTGCCAATATTTTAAAACATGTTAATATCCTTAAATTACCTACATTTACTTGGATGTAGATTTTGCTGCAGGCCTGATTCTCTATTCTGCTGTTTCTGCTCTTGAAGCTATTACATGTCCCAAGTTCTGATTCTTAGGTTCATTTTATGATTGGCTCCACACCTCAAGAAGAGATATGTCATAGATTTTAACTTGGAATCACAAAGGCTGGATTTTACAAAACACATGAAACCCAAATGAAACGTATTATGACTTAGTAATGATATGTGAATCCTTATCTATGTCATGGGATACAATTCTGCAACTATTTACATGGGAACAAGACTTATTAATATGTTTTTTACTAGTTTCATGTAGGATTGCATTTAATGAATGTGCAGAGAGCCCTTACCCATGCTAGCTCAAACTAGGATTGGCTCCTGCAATTATCTTATAAGTGGAACCCTTTCAAAATATTAGGTTGGTGTGTACCTTGTGACTTTTCAATTAAGTGGTGCCTCCTCTGATGACAGATGCTTCTTTTAATCTTGTAGGAATTTGAGCAGTACGGGAGGATACGTAAGGAAAATGCTTTTCTTGACGCGCTTAAGGAATGTGAAGATCATCAAAACGGAAAAAAAAAAGAATATTTTTTTCTTTATTCTTAACTTGTGTTGCTTGAATTTCCAGATTGCTGGTGAAACTTCAAGAGCTGAATTACAAATTGAAAGTGCAAGTTCAATTTGATAAGTAAGTGATGTGTTATCACCGTTCAGATAAATGGTCACTAATCTTGACTTCCACACTTGGACGACTTATGCTTTAGTCCTCTTCTACGCTCTGTTGCAACATCTGTCTGGCAGTTAGAGAACTCTCAATGATTTCCATTTCTTACAGTTCTACGTTTTTTATTGATTCTGTTATCGTGACTAGACTTCTAATTACTTGCTTTCTTTGGTTGCTCATAAAGGGTTAATACTATTAATTTATTTTTTACACAAGAGAATCAGAGAGAAAGCCTTGAGTATGAGGGTTTGTAATGAGCTTTGAAATCATCTAGTGCACTCCGTGCTCAGTGAAGGAATCCTGTACTACAGCATTCTTGATAGATGGTCCTCCAGCCTCTGTTTAAACACATCCATTTAGGAAGGATCTATTACTCTATTAACTCTCAGGGCATTGCTGAACAGCTCTTAACATTTTTCCTGATGTCCTTTCAAAATGCGATTCCCCATTGCTTAAAATGAAAATAAAACATTTCCTTTGCTGCTGACAGCTATGGTGCCACGAGCCCATTACTTTGAAGAAGCATGCATTTACATATGCTTGGAAACCATAACGGAAATAGTATTTCACCCATCAATGTAACAGTCATAATTACAGACCCTGCTGCTTTCATTCTGATTGCAGTGAGCTAAGGAGCAAAAAAGGCAATCCAGAATAAGTGAAGAGGGTTGAAACAGAGGTCCTAGCTCTCACTTCTACTTCACCTGTGGAAATATACTTATTCACAAACTGCAAGTAGTTCTTGTTAACATCCACTCATTCAGCAGTTGTTCAAAGTTATAATGACATTGAATGAGGGATACATATGGCCAGTCCTCGTACTTGCAGCCAATGCAGCGTCTTGCGAATCCATGATGACCATTTGCAATCTTCCTTGTCGACGTCTGACAAGCAAAGTCAATGGGGAAGGAGGCAGGAGGTCACAAGTGGTGATCCCATGACAAAGGGATGCTGCAGCTGTGCAGAATTTGCCTAACTACAGCAACTGGGACTGCTGTTGCAAGTTGGCCCGATCATGTGAGGTTGCACCTTAATGTGTTGCCTAACAGCAGAGTTCCTGATCCCAATGACCATTGGTAAGCAGGACTACTTGTACTTCATGTGTTAAGTTTTGCTATGATGATTTATTTGGTGAAAGAAATTAATAATCAGTTGACTTTGGGTGCTTAACAATGAAGTCATGAGCAATCTCTGAATGAAAACTCCACTCTCTCAAACAAGCATATCATAGCGAAAAATGGCTACCCAGTACCTCATCTCAAATTTAAAGCCGTCTTGAAAACAGTCTTCAGGTTTTCTGGGATATCAAGACTGTACTCGGGGCAACAAGTGCCATCATGTTGAACCCACAGAGCACTCTGTTCTCTGACCCATACCCGTTCCACCTTGCAATGCTGGGATTTATTTATTTATTTATTTATTTATTNCAGGTCCGCAGTTGTACGTAGGTCGGGGGGTAGGTCATTCCAGAGGGCAGGAGCTGCCACAGAGAAGGCTCTCCCCCTGGGGGTCGCCAGCCGGCATTGACTGGCCGACGGCACCCTAAGGAGGCCCTCTCTGTGGGAGCGGACTGGTCGAAGGGAGGTATTTGGTAGGAGGCGGTCTTGCAAATCTTAAGGAAGCTCTCGAGCTTCTTCAAGGGGTCTACAACAACTCGCTGTAGCCAACTCACAGTGACCAATTCACCACAGTCAACTTGCAGCCAACTCGCCGCGTGGCCAATTCACCATGGGACAAGAGTTACACTAATATCGAAGAAATAGTAGAATAGAATCATTAAAGAAAGGATGCCAAAGAAGGGACAAAATGAAATGTGAAGGAAAAAAAGATGAAATAATTTTAAAATTATTGTAACTAATTGAATTGTTTCGTAACGAGTTGTCCTGTGGTGAGTTATCCCGCAGCAAGTTGTCCCGTTCCATCTTCAGGATGGGCAGAATCATTTGGAATAAGTCCATTCCAGTTTGGAGAATATATAAATACATAATGGGCCAGTCAGTTATTTGCATTAATACCGATTCATTAATTTATTTAAAAGTAACCACACTCGGTATTGGACATCAAATGTTTCAAAAATGACCCTTGTAGAAGTGAAAGAGGCTCCAACTTCACAGCAGGCTTCTAAGTGAGAATAATGCATGAACAGGCTTACAGAAAACTGTAAAATTGCACATTTCACAGTGTCCTTAATCTGAGCAGCTGAGTGTGAAACGAAAAAAAGTGGAAATTTTTCCAGATTACATAGAGATAAACTTGATAAACAGTTTAATGGAATAATTTTGGGAGAATGCTGTGGTATAATTGTGAAATCCCCCATAGAAAGATTGTCACTCATAAACTGACCTTTTTTTTTCTTTTGCAGAGATGTTGGCGAGAAACTCACAGTGAAAGGGTATGTTCAGTCAGTTTGTGCCTGTTCTTGCCTTTTTTGTTAAATATCAAAGAAGGTTGTGTCATTTGTTTTTATTGTTCTTGTTTATAGATTTAGAAAATTTAACATCTTGGGAACAAATACCAAAGTAATGAATATGGAAGAGTCAAATGGAAGCCTATCAGCAGAATTTAGACATCTGGTGAGGTGTTTGTGGTATTTGTGTGTGATTTGATAATGCTGAAGTGGTTTTGTCTCCTTGCTAGGTATCTTTTTTTGCACTTAGTATTGCTTGTTTTTAAAGCTATTTAAACTTTTTGAAGCCTGTCCCAATCTGTAGACTCTGGGTAGCACTGAGCAGAGTAATAATACAAATCTAGAGAGAAATGGTAACAAGAAATTAAAAAAATGTAATAAGAAAAATAACACTCCTGCCATGTACTCCACTAAAACAGCAGTTGAAAGAGCACTTTATCCTAGTGATTCCTGATTGAGACAAGGATGTCAATTTATACTACAGATGGTTCTCTGACCATGCTTTCCATTCATGAGGACATGGGCGAGACGTTCATGATTAAGAGCCGTGGTGGTGCAGTGGTTAGAATGCAGCATTGCAGGCTAATTTTGCTGACTGCCAGCAGTTCGATTCTCATTGGTTCAAGGTTGACTCAGCCTTCCATCTTTCCGAGGTCGATAAAATGAGGGCCTAGAGTGTTGGGGGCAAAATGCTGACTCTGTAAACCGCTTAGAGAGGGCAGTAAAGCACCGTGAAACGGTATATAAGTCTGAATGCTATTGCTATTAAGATTTGGGTTTCGCTCTGTCTCATACAACTTTGAATAGAGATAACAGTTCATCCTTCTTTGAGTGGACTCAAAGATTCAAGTTCTCTCTGCACTTTTCTCATTTCTTCCTTTCGTCCCGCTTTAGTCTTTGTGCTTTTTACCATTTTGTAGAATTAGACCCAGAGCGAACATTTTACAATTGAATCCCACTTCCTTGAATAGAGATCTAATAAATGGGGATTAATTTGGTTCAACATTCATGATTTGTTGAATCATATCCACTCTTGTATTATAATCTGCAGTAGTACTAGTATCATTATAGTAGATGTTTTACTTTTTAAAGTAATCAGTTGTACACTACTGCATTAGATTAAAAAATATAACGTGATTCTCTTAGCAATTTATCAGTTATTGGGCACATTCACAGATTTTTTTTCCAGTAGTCTGTCAAACCTTTGGGAACATGTATTGCCTGGGGTCTGAAATGCATAGTATTTATCTTTAAATCATTCTCTAAATGAAAGTGTTTTTCATTCTTTTTGATAATTTACAAATCTGTTTTAGTTTAGAGATAGGTTGAAGTAAAACCAAAAGGTTATAAAGGTATATTATTGCAGTCTGTGCACAGATAATCAAATCACTCAGATTTTCTATATCATGACTTTAAAAATACTTAGCAGGTCTAATATTTACAAGTAAAAGGGATAGCTGAGATAATAACTTCTAGTTAAACGCTCCTGTAGTCTTTTTAGCTGTCGTGCATAATCCATGTCTCATATGTGACAGCCCATTTATTTAATTTATATAGCTGCCCATCTCACTTTTATGTGACTTGAGGCAGCTTACAATAAAACACAACATAAATAATATAAAAAAATAAAATAAAAATACACAGCAGGCAGGCATGATCTAAACTTTCAGGAGATGGTCTTTAACCCAGATCCAGCACCACCAGGGTGGAACATATTTATCCTTTCAGATGAAGGGCAATCTTTTTTGGAAAGAATCCGATTCACTAATATTATCTGCCAGTTCAAATAGTGAGAATGAGAGTTACTATCAAGATACTTCACATTCTTCTCTCTGCAGTTTAAATGGTTTGAAAATAAAAATCTCCACAATACACTTTTATAATACCAATAATCAATAAGATCATCTGTAGTTTAGCTTCCTGTTAGAAGCCTCTTGGTGAATCTCAGGCTGGTGGGATTGAAGGGGAATTGTTAAAAGTTGCGTATATAGTTGGAATGGTTTTGTGTGGGAAGCTCCTGGGTGAAGAAATGGAGCCATAATATATGAAAGATAGTGAAAGGGGCTACACTGAGTAGGAAGCTTTTGAACCATACATCAAAAGCTTGAGTGGTATGTGGTTTAACCAAATTCTCTTCTTTTGTAGCAATTAAAAGAGCAAAAGAATGTTTCAAGAACTAACGAGGTAAGGAAAATATGCCTTAGCACTTCGGTGAATGTATAGCTTATTTAAAAACTCCTAAATCAGAATTCTGTGTTTTAGATTTCCACACTGCAGAAACAAAAGCCAATAACCGCATCACTAATTGTGTAATAGCAACAGATTCACAGGTTCTTGCTTTTCAATCTTTCATGTCGTAGAACAAGGGTCTCCAAATTGGCAACTTTGAGACTTGTGGACTTCAACTCCCAATTTCTCAGCCAGCCATAATGGCTGGAGAATTCTGAGAGTTGAAGTCCTCAAGTCTTAAAAGTTGCCAAGCTTGGAGACCCCAATGCAGAATAAGGATTTAATCTTTCGGTTTTGAACATGCAAATAGGTTAGAACAGAAGAGATCCCCAGTGAGATTTCACAGGAATTCTGAGGTCCATCTCAGGAACAAGATGCAAAATTTTAATACTCCAGATAGCATAGAGTGAAATTGATAGGTGGAATTCTCATCTGAATTAAGGCAAATCCAAGATTTGGGCTATTTAATGTAGATATAAATTCTTAGTCAGTTTGGAATTGGGATTCCTTTTTATTCCATTTTAAAAGTCATTCAAATTTCTTTAAGAGCACCTTGCATTAGTATCAAGCTGCTTACACTTTTAGGATCAAGGTAATTCTTTCTCACTTTCTTTGATACATACATCAAATGAAAGGGATTATCCTTGTAATGACCCCATAGCTAATACATTTTAACAAAGTAACTAATTAACTGACCCTTATAGATGATAGAATGCCTTGTTATTGGAAACTGAATTGGTGCTGTCAGAGCTAACACCTAAAGAAAGCCCTAAAAGTCAATTTATTAGCCCAGGTTCCCTCTTAATAAATTTCATTCTTCTTTCTAAAGTTCCAGATGATAAGTGCTGCTTTAATAGTTTAGAAGGGGTTATTTAATTTCTGAAATTAATTTCAGTTGGGATTGCATTTTTTTCTCTTTTTATAGATAAGCTATTTTATAAATGTGCTGCAATATTAGAATAAAATATAAGGCTGTCAAATAGCTAAAATTAGTTAAGTACATTAAGCTAAAGTTCTTCTCTTATTTTTAAGGGTCCTCTCATTGTAACTGAAGAACTCCATTCCCTCTGTTTTGAGACAACATTGGAACAGAATGGCCTAGTAATTGAATTGGAAGTAAGTAGATTAAAAAAATTAAGTCATAGAGTAGCAGATCAATAACTTCATTTCAGAAGCATAAGTGGGTAATCTTTTGGTGGCCAAGGACCACACTTAACATTTAAAGGAAGCTTGAAGATTACAAAATAAGGGTGGTCATTTCACTTGTAGGTGACACATCTCTAATACAAATGTTCTAGGATTATTAACAATGTTTATTAGTTTCTCAGCTCAAAATACCAGGAAGCTCTGTGCTACCAATTTTCAACAGTTTTAGTCAAAAGGGTTTCCAAGGACTGCAAAACTCAAGGTGCAGGCTTTAGGGCCACGGGTTTGTTGATTTGTTCAGTGAGCCCATCTCACATTTTTGTCTGTGAGAGGGCTCATACAGTAAAAATGCAAATGAACAAAACAATTGAAACAATTTTTAATTTAAAAATTTAATTAAAATTGCCGTCTTTCTCATCTTCTCACCTTTCTCATCTCTCATCTTTCCTACTACCGTCTCCTATTGGCATATTATGATTTATCAGTTGTTGTTTGTATCTTATGATTTATGATCTATGACTTATCACTATGTTGTTTGCATGTGCACTGAGAGTTTATGCCCCGGAGACAAATTCCTTGTGTGTCCAATCAGGAATTCTATTCTAAAAACCATTAAAACATAACATAATCTACAAGAGAGGGCAATGCATCTTAAAAACAGTGTTACAACCATTTTATGGGCTGCATTTCACTATCAAATCCTTAGGCACACATAGCAAACCCATCATCGGACTCTTCCAAAATCCAATAGAATGGGGCCAATCTAACCTCAGAGGGCGAGCACCATGGCAGGAAAGGCTATCCTCCCAGGTCCTGTCCAGTAACATTCCTTGTCAGACAGAACCCATAAACATGCCTCGTCTGTTGGACTTGATGGGAGAGGTAGATGTAACTGAGGATAGGTGGTCCTCATCTGACCTGGCCCCATGCCATGTAAGGCTTTATAGGTCATTACCAAACAGTCCTCTGCATAAAGATAGTCTAAAAACTTTTATTCCTTTCCCCCTTGATGTTGCTGGTAAACATTGGTAATTGCACAGTGTATATTCATTGATATAAAAAGCACCAAAATGTTTGCTGCAGTGTACCATTGGATACAATATTATGAAGGCTGTTGTATTATGGTGTGTATATCAGTGTTATCATATAAATAACAGAACGAGTTATTGTGTCAAACTTCTTAATGTAATTGGTGCCAATTAATTAATAATCATGTTTGTGAGATGATGCCATATTACCTCAGAAGCAACTGGATGGTTACTCTTTGTTTGGTTGGTTGTTTTCATCCATTTCATTGAATTAATAAATGGAAACTGAAGTAATAGTGGCTGCACTCACTGCTTCGCCAATTACAGTCCTTGTTGCTGTATTATATGATGCTGATATAAGTCTTAAGTAAAATCAAGAAAAGTTTGGTGTGGTGATTTAGGAAAAATGGGTCCTTAATGGTTAAAGCAGCCTTACACCTAAAGTCAGATTGTCCTTGCTTGTGTCTTGGTTCCACAGACGGAGACAAATAAAGCAGAACTCCAAGGTTGCAAGTTCCTCAAAGAACATGTTTATTAGTTACAAAGTATCGGCACATCAAAAGTGAAACCAAATCTGAATAGACACATAACAATCCCCAATACAAGTTAAGAAATCCCACCCCTAAAGCTATGCAAGCTACTACGTTCCCCAATACATCTTCTTGGTGGGTTTTTCACGAAATGCCCAGCCTTGGTTCCCATGGGAGAAAAGCTGTCTAGTCTATGTGTCAACTGAAAATGAATAGGAAAATGAGCCACACTCATTTTCAAAGTTGACAGCCTGGCTTAGTGGATTGATTGGTGTAGGATATTTTAGAGCTAAAGCCCAAAACTCTGTTTCTTCTTTGGGGCTAGACTAAAGGTGTTCACTGTGACCTCCTAATTAGTTTTCATTATTTCATTACCCTATTCTTTGTAGCTGCTGCTCAGATCTTTGGATGATGCAAATCTCTTTTGTTTAAATCCCAAACTGCTTTGATGATTAAATGACACTGTTGTATGTTGGGTGGTTAACAGTCTGATGTCAAACTTACGTCATTCAATTCTGTTGGTTTAGAACCATAATTCTCATATTCTGTCTGGCAGTGAAGGATGGAATTAAAAGCCTAATATTTGGAGAAGGCTGGATTGAAGCTTTGGCTAAATTCACAGTTTACATACCCGAGTTATAAAGTGGTTTTGCACCCCTAGCTTATTCAAAACTATTTAAAAAGCCATGACCGTGTGATACAGTATGTGAACCTAGCATTTTTTCTGCTTTTAGGTGGAATTCACCATTTATGAATATTTACTTAACTTGTCTCTGCAATTTTCCCTTTCCAGACCCTTTCCCTTCCAATTGTTGTGATCTCAAATGTCAGCCAATTACCAAGTGGATGGGCTTCTATTTTATGGTACAATATGCTGATAAATGAACCGAAGGTAACTTAAAAAGCAACTTTTCTAAGATTGAAATTGCTAAGAATCACTGCATTCAGATTGGCTCCCTTTAAAGCCTCCGTCATAAATGCTTTTACAGGGAATTTAGTCTTGTTGAACATAAGGGAATTGTATATAAGGTTGCACTGGAAGCATTTTATATCATAAAAATGGTTTCATCTTTGATAGGAAAATATACATTCTCTAATCAGATCAAATAGGTGCACTATTGCTTTTTTTCTGTTCAGCAAAAAAAAATATGGCTTATTACATTCATCTGATTATAACAAAATTGATGTTTATATGGCTTTTTGAGGAGATACTGACAAACGTCTTGATTTATAATTATATAGGTAAAAATGGTTGTTTCCTGGAAGAGGGGAGATAACATGTCTATTCCTACCAAATCATTTATATTTCCAAAATTTGGAATATTCTAAAATATTCCAGTTTTTTGGGGGGGGAAAGCCAAAATATTCTGGGTGTTTTTTGTTTTGTTTTTAGGTAAAATGAATACCGGAACCTTCCAATCTTTGATACTGTTTAATAAGAGTGGAGTTTTCTGATTTTGCAATTGACTACAAGGAATTATAGAAATTTCTACTGATTTTTTTCTTCTTCTACAAATAAAACACAACTGTCTGATTACTGAATGTTAGTGTCTGGTTAGTGTCTGGTTTTAGGCTTGTTAATACTGCTTGCTTTGGCATCATGGGTTGGTTTAGACCAGCGGTCCCCATCCAACCTTTCCAGCTCTGCGGATCGGTGGTGGAGGGAGAAGGGATGGTTCTGCACAAATGGCAGGCGTGCTCTCTGCTTGCATAAATGGAGGTTTGTGCACTCACCAGCTTGCCTGCCACTTGTATGACCCAGTTCCGGGCCACGGCTCCGGGGCTGGGGATCCCTAGTGTAGACTTATTGAGTGGCCAACATTTTCCTTGGTTTTTTTATGCAATCCTAGATTTTGTCAGGTTAACAGTGCTCTTTGTAGCATCTGAGTGCTTGTATTTTGGGTGGCAAGGCTTCCTACTTAGACATCATACCTCAGCCAATTGCAAGCACCACTGTATGGTAGTTAGATTGCCCTTCACTTGCCTATTGGTGTTTTTTTTCAAATGATGGAAGTTAAAAATCGGAGACTTTGGAGATTGTCAGTTGGGAATGCCTCACAGAATTTCAGAGTACGGCTGTGCTGATGTAGATTGAGATCCCATCTCAGTCCTGAAGCTCAATGAGTGATATTCAGCTTGTCCCCATTTATTTGTTATTCCTTTAAAGCCTTTATATCCAGCTTAGTCTTCAGTCAGGTCTGGTCAGTTCAGTTTTAAAACATATTACAAACATAAAACCTAACAGCAGTTGTTAAAGGCGCCATATTTAAGTGAGTAATTGTCTTTCCAGGAGACATTTCTAAAAAGTTGCTTCTGGAGGTTGCTTCTGGGTAAGGAGGTGGGACAAGCCTTTCTTGGGCCCAGACACAGCTGCCAAAAAAGTTTACTTATGGAGCATAAAGTCAGTAGATAATTGTGTCAACTGTGCCACCTCACAGAAGTGCAGGAAAGTGGAGATGCTACCTGAGCTCCTTGAAAGAAAGGTGGGGGATATTTACTATACATATCCTAATCTGCTTCCATTTTAGAATTTGTCCTTCTTCCTTAATCCGCCATGTGCAAGATGGTCACAACTTTCTGAAGTGCTGAGCTGGCAGTTTTCTTCTGTCACAAAAAGGGGACTCAGTACAGATCAGCTGAACATGATCGGGGAGAAGTTGCTTCGTAAGTGGCATTATTAATTCTCTGTAGGGTGAAAAACTCTGTAGGACTCAAATCATCACTTCCAGAAGCCCTCTGAATCTTCACTCTGCCTCTGGTTTTAGAGTTAGTCCTTGATTGTTCCTGCTGCCACCACCTATCTTTCAGTTAGCCCAGGGGTAGGCAACCTTGGCTCTTTTATGACTCGTGGACTTCAACTCCCAGCATTCCTGAGCATGGGAGTTGAAGTCCCCGAGTCATAAAAGAGCCAAGGTTGCCTACCCCTGAGTTAGCCTCTGATCTTTTGTCCATTTTGTAATGTGTAAGAAACAAGGTTCCTGCATTCTGCACAGATTTTTGAGCGATTAAACGATCAAAATGAAAAAGACGAAAATAATTTCAGTAGTAGAATCTCTTGGCTATATAGCAAAGAGGCATATGGTGATGAGAGGTTTTAGCTCTCCCCTGCTTCTTAACCATGTGGTTTTAATTTTAATTTTAATTTTTTTTTGGGTGGAGAATGCGTAGACCTCCTCTCAGGATAATAACAAAACAAAGCGCACAAGCCAAGGAGATGTTGAAGTGAAGATTCCACATTTACGAAACCTAAATTTCAAATTCATTTCCCATACATCTTTCACAGTCAATAGTGAACATTGCACTAATAATTGAACAGATTTCTTATACCTTTTGGGTATTTGGTCGTCCAGCACATTTGGATGGGGACAAGTTGAGGAAAGCAGTCCTTAAGCCGCTTAAGGTTCCTCAAACCTTTTCTTAGATGGTGATACTTAAAATTCAGAATACAATTTTTGCATGTGATTTAATCGCAGCATCGCATTCTACGTTGGCATAGTGTAAATGCATAAATGTCAGTGACCTGATGGAAATGTCTTGGCTTTTTTTGTTTGTTTGTTTGTTTTAGCAAATGGATGTACTCCAGATGGCCTTATTTCATGGGCAAGATTCTGCAAGGTATGAGTTGCTGTTCTTCAGTTAATGTTATGGAGTTTAATGTAACTTAATATAAAGTACTGCTCATTAGATTTCTTCCTACTCTAAAAGAATGCATCTGAATTATTCTTGGTTCTGGCTGAATCATACCTGGGGTAAGAACAAAAACGTTGGTCTTGAATAGTTTGGAATGGTTATATTCCATCAATGTAGAGACATGGTCATAGACTGCTCCAATTTATGTATGGAGCAGTAGTCTCTACAATGTACTTTCCTTTAGGTTTCATGTGATGTAGAGACCCATCCATTATGGTTTAGTGTTACGGCAAGAATTGGGACACTGACTTTGGAACAAATTAATGCATGGCAAAAGAACAGAGCTGGAATTGGGGGAACTCCTACCAGTAACAGTCCATACAAGCATCCACGCCAACACTATCTGGAGGAGCACCGGTTTCCCAGCCCTTCCATGGGGACTACTGAATTGTCTTCCATACTAGTGGTTGCTTGCCATGGAAGACTATACCTGGAAGAGAAGTTGGGGTCCCGCTTGACCTCCAATGTCGCAAATAGATGCTTCCCATGACATGTCAATAAAGTCTTTAATGTTTGGGGACTTTCTCAGGAGAAAGAAAGCTTGCATAGGAGGTGTCTCTTGCAAACTGTAAACAAAGGGTGGGAAAGCTTTTAGCTCTTAGATGCACTCAGTGTTTTTTTGGGGGGGTCAGTTCACTGAAGATGAATTATCTATGCGAGTAACAAAAAGTCTGGGGGGAAAAAAACCAAACTCAGAGAGCACCCAGAACTCCACAGTCTGTGATTCATTCTAGGGAACAGGGTTTGAAAGATGGAAGGAAATGAATTATGGGATAATGGAGGCCTTGAAGCTGTAATTTATCCGTTCTAATAATTTAGGATACCCCTCCCCCCGTTTCAAATATTCAGGAAAATAGGTGCAGCAGACAAATGTGAAAACACCAAGCAAGTGACAAGAAGTGGAAATTAAAAACGAGATATGCTAGATCAGTGGGTAACTTTTACCACCCCGAGCTTTTGTCTCTCTTAATTTCAGGAAAACGTGAACGATAAAAACTTTCCCTTCTGGCTGTGGATTGAAGGGATCCTTGAACTGATTAGGAAACACTTGCTCTTCCTCTGGAATGACGGGTAAGCATCTTTTCCTCGGGCCCCAAATAGAAAACCAGACGAGTCTGGAATGATTTCAGTCGCACTTCAGGGCATTTTGAAGTCTAGCAATATTTTACAGTCAGCAATGCAGACAAAGTGACCCACTTGGGCCCTATTCATTTTAAAAACCCTAAAAGGAAGAATCCTGTAGTACTGTATGAATGGAATTCTTTTTCTGCTTGCTCAATGTGATTTCCTTAACTTTTTTTAATCTTCACCCATACTCCCCATTAGCTTTGAAAATCTCTTCTTCAGATTTGAGGCTGAAGTAGCAGATTTGGAGAGTGTATGCAACGCTGTTGCAAGGAAAAGGAATGAATCTTCCTTCTGCTTTCTTTGCCCTAAAACAAACTTCCTTGCTTACGGCAACTTAACCGGGTTCTTTCATATGAGTTTGATTCTACTTGGAACCTGTGGACTTTCAATGTGTTATGCTCTGATAGTGCTTAAGACAGTGGTTCTCAACCTTTTTAATGCCGCGACCCCAACCGGTCGTAAGTCAAGGACTAAACCGGTCGTAAGTCGAGGACTAAACCGGTCGTAAGTTGAGGACTAAACCGGTCGTAAGTCGAGGACTAAACCGGTCGTAAGTCGAGGACTACCCAACCGGTCGTAAGTCGAGGACTTTCCCTGCCCGGAAGCACCGCGCATGCGTGGTTCCGCCCCCTGCGCCGGCCGAGGCGTAGCTGGCAAGTGGCAGAGATGGAGCAGGCCGACCACCAGCTGGCCCAGCCCAAGGGAGGTAAGGCACCCGCCGGAAAAGGGGAAAAAAGGGCGGACAAAAAAATGGCGGACAGCCTTGCTTGGCGACCCCCATGAAATGGTTGATCGACCCCAAATGGGGTCGCGACCCACAGGTTGAGAACCACTGGCTTAAGAAGGGAGCATTGTTCCCTATCCCTTCTGCATGTAAAAAGGCTTAAGAAGAAATAGAAAAACGATGTGGGAGTTTCAGACTAATCTGGGATGGATTATCAAGTTATTGTCACCATTATAGTGTTTTTCCATTTTTTTAAAAAAAAAAAAAACGCTTGCAGATCTCTGCAAAGTCTAAAAGACCATTTTCTAATGAGGTTAACAACAATCTTTCTCTATCACGAAACCCACAAATGGGGCCAAATGCTTTTTTAATGGTGGAGCCTAAAATTGTCAGGATGTAGGCAGCTGCCTGAAGGAAAAGTAAATTATATTACCGAGCATTAATCTTGCAGAATTCCCAGTAGCAAATTTAGTTAGAATGAAAGTAGAACTGTTACAGGGAAGTCCTCAACTTGCGACCACAATTGAGCCCAAAACTTTACGTTGCTGAGTGAGACATTTGTTAAGTGAGTTTTACCCCATTTTACACCTTTCTTGCCACAATTGTGAATCATCGCAATTGTTAAATTAGTAACACGGTTGTCAAATGAATCTGGCTTCCCCATTGACTTGACTTGTCAAGAAGGTTGCAAAAGGGGATCACGTTGACCCCGGGATGGTGCAACCGTCATAAAAGTGAGTCAGTTGTCAAGCCTATGAATGTAAATCACCGTGCCCGCAGGGATTGCTGCAACCGTCATAAGGGTGAAAAATGGTCATAAGTCACTTTTTCCAGTACCACTGTAACTTTAAATAGTCACTAAGCGATCTGTTGTAAGTCAAGGACTATTTGTAGTTCCCTTGCTGGAATTCTTCTTTTTTCCCTCCAGAATCAAAATCTTTTGTGTACATGGGGGGGGGGGGAGAAGGGGGGGGGGCTTTCTCATAGCCTTATGGTGCTGAGGTTGGTTTTTTCCCTCAGGGACGAGGACTGGCATAGGGAGCAATGCTCTTTCTGCCACTGGGGTCATTCAGGTAACAGTCCTTGAAGCACCTGCTTCCTCCTTTCAGCAGAAAGACTCTGGAAGACCCTAGTTCTGCGCTTAAAAATAGGGGGGCCTTGCTTGAGATGAATCTTCTTCCCCGTGTTACAGGCACATCATGGGCTTTGTCAGCAAGGAGCAAGAGCGCATCCTGCTGAAGGAAATGGAGACTGGGACGTTTCTTTTGAGGTTCAGTGAAAGTAGTCGAGAAGGAGCGATCACTTTCACCTGGGTGGAAGGACCAGCAAATGGTAAGTAAAACTTGGAGAAAAGGCCTTGTGTTGTGAGGAGCCTGCCGATTCCCTTTATGTTGGGAACTTTTGTGCTTTAGAAAGGGAATCTTTGTCTCTGACTTGGGGAAAAAATCACAGTTTAACAAGCTTAGGCCTGGTTTCTCCCAGTACGTTAAATCCCTATTAATTTCCACAACTCTATGGAACAAGAACCTAGTTGCCCTAGTTTATTAAAATCTCCATGTTCTACAGTATAGGGGAGTAATGCAATAGCATTCCCTTTATTTACTCAAGGTTGATGAATATCATTTTTCTTTCTATAAAATTAGAGATAACAAAATTTGGTGTATTACATCTTTCTCTCTCCCTTCATCGCTCTCTTACGTATTTAATCAGAGATAAAAATCAATCAAGTATTGAGTCAGGCCAGGGGCCTGTGAGCTCTTTCTAGAGCAGCGGTTCTCAACCTGTGGGTCGGGACCCCATTTGGGGTCAATCGACCATTTCACGGGGGTTGCCAAGCAAGGCTGTCCGCCATTTTTTTTGTCTGCCATTTTTTCCCCTTTTCCGGCGGGTGCCTTACCTCCCTTGGGCTGGGCCAGCTGGTGGTCGGCCTGCTCCGTCTCTGCTGCTTGCCAGCTACGCCTCGGCCGGCGCAGGGGGCGGAACCACGCATGCGCGGCGCTCCCGGGCAGGGAAAGTCCTCGACTTACGACCGGTTGGGTAGTCCTCGACTTACGACCAGTTTAGTCTTCGACTTACGACCGGTTTAGTCCTCAACTTACGACCGGTTGGGGTCGTGGCATTAAAAAGGTTGAGAATTACTGTTCTAGAATGACTGGCAGAAACCATGTCAAGAGCTCAACTTTCTTCCAACAATTCAGCCAGGTAGGCTGGCTGTCCTGCCCTTCTTTGTGCCAACAAGAAGGGCAGGAGCACTAAGAGAGCCCAGTCTTGTTTTTCTGGTCCTGCTGTACCCCTTTCTGGTGGGATAGTGCCAGGTGGGCATTCAAAAGCAGCTTTCATTAAAAAAAAAAAAGCGGCTTTCAGATCAACAAATTGTTTCACACATCACCATAACAATTTGAGTTCCAGGCGCCCTTCAACAAAAGATAGTGGATTCAGTAAAAAAAAAAAAAAAAAAAGGAGCAAGGACCACCTTTACGTGAAGCAAGAATAGAAGTAAAACTACCAAAGGAAAAGTAGCAAATTAAAATCCACAGAGCGATTTAATTAATCATGTCATTTGAATGAAAATACTATTAGGCCCTGAGACTTCCCTAATAGAATATTGTATAGGAGGGAAATCTGTAACAATCCCAAATGCAGTCCTTAACGTATGCTTGTGCATGTAAAACTGTATACATTCAAAATTATTTTCAATTCATGGTTGCCTGAATTGCACAAATACACGTTCAAGCAAATGTTTGAGATTGCAGTAAAATGCTGAGGCCCAGAGGGTGGAGAGTTGAAGATCTCGGAGCTTCTTTGTCAGATGTCCTCATGGTCTTCACACTGGCCTGACCTCCTGCATTAAAGTACCAACTTCGTTGTTCCTGGTACTGCCACTTATCTTCTAGATGCACCTTATTTAGGAGATTGAGAACCCCATTTGTAAGAAAAGATATTAGACTGATATCCTGTAGTGCCTTTCTGGCCATTAAAAATTCAAAGTGCAGAAGTTGAAATAATGTATATAGAGTTATTCCCCAGTTCTATAGCACTGAGTTTCAGTAAGTTTCTCTACCTTTTCCCCCAGGAAGTTGACCATCTCTCAGAACATAGATTAAATACAACTTTAAAAAAAATAAAAATAAAACTCTGTTTAAGTATTAACATGCAAACAATTCAGTGCGCAAGGATATCATTATATGCTGCTCGGATCACAGTAATACAACAGATAGCAAATAAAAGAGAAAATACAATGTTCTGGGTGGGCCACAAGATGGCAGTGGTCTGCTACAGATGAAGTGCTCTCTGACAGAATTTCAGAAAAGATGCTTGAGAGGATTCAAATTATTATAGATTGCAAGAAATTTTAAAGAGATTATAAAGTATAAATCAGGAGCTAGGGAGAACAATGGTAATCCCATAATTTTCCCAGCCTCCATCCACAGACTTTCTAGCAGCTTCTATACTATGGGGGGGGGAATATAGTATGGAAATATAGTAGAGGGGGGGAAAAAACCTCCATTGCTCCAATTCTGGGAAAGGTTTTCAATAAATTTCTACATCGTCAAGCTTCTGTTAAAGGCAACCCCAAATAAAACTATTGAAAAATATGATGGTTGTGCTATATATTGAAAAAATGTGTAACATTTATCTTCCTCAGATCCATCCTTCCACTCTGTAGAGCCCTATACAAAAAAGGAACTCTCTGCAGTCAGCCTGCCAGATATCATTCGCAATTACAAAGTGATGGCAGCGGAGAATTTTCCTGAGAACCCACTGCAGTACCTGTATCCGTGCACTCTCAAAGACGTTGCGTTCGGAAAATACTATTCCAGACACAAAGAGTGTGAGTAGTTGTCTCTCCAACCTGCCTTTTCACAAGGATAATAGTCTCGTGTCCAGAGGGGCATGCTTGTGTGGCTCCATTTCTGCATACCCTCGTTGACTACCTTAGGAATCTCAGCTTTCCGTGCTTCTACCCCCGAATCTGACTTTTTTGGAATCTAGACATGGGGGTGGGCAAGGAGTAAGATTGGTGCCATATGAAATATGCAAATATTCATTTGAAAGCACTGCACTGCGTTGCACACAAGCTGCTGCTAGTTTTTGTTTTTAAAAAGTGGCCTTGGCTTATGTCTACCTTGAGAATAAATTACCTCATGACCAGAATTCGATCTATTAAGCTTCTTTTTTTTCTTATTACACTTACCTAAATTGATATAGAGGTTGGGAGAGATGTCTAGACCAGTATTTCTCAATCATTTTGCACTGGTGCCGTCCCCTCATGTACACACACCCCTCCTATCCAGGTTCCCATTACTGGTGAAAAATATTGCTACTTACACACTTGGCTTGCACTGTTGATCACAATGTTTGTCCCGTTTAAAACTTTCTTGAGGTTCTGTATTGCTCTGTAGTTTAATGAATGATTTTTTCAATGCAACATCAACATCAGCAGCGTTTGAGGCGAATGGATTCGCTATCCAGGTTGGAAAATCTGCAGCCTGCAGGTTATGGAAACAAGTTTCCATATCCTTATGCAGTAGCTTCCAATGATTCACACACAAATATATCATCTTTCAACCCAAGACTAACTACCGCCAAATAAAAAACTGGGCAAATTCCTGATGGTCGGTCAATATTGTTGCATGCAGTTTTGGTTTTTCAAGAAATCCTTTAATCATTTCTTTGCATAACGAAAGGTCATGGTTTCTTCCCTGCAGTTGCTTTTTGAAAATACCATAAAGGAAAAATATATCGCATTTAGTGGAGGTGATGTTTTTGGTTTACTATTGAAAAATGCCCCACATGTGCCCCACAAATCAACTAAACAGTTAGGGCAATTGCCCTTTGATAACCCCAGACTTATGTATGCAATAATAAGCATTAACAATACTAGCAAGGGGCAGCTTCTTAACAAGTGACATTCACAGAGAAACTGATTTTCAGGAGTATTAGGTGACCAATGGGTTGCTTAAGTCATACAGGTTTTCCAGAATGTCACATAAGAAGAACCAAAAGACAGCTCAATAATCAGTTATATTATTATGAGTGCCTGTAATGTGACTTCTCAAGAGTTCAGCACAGTCCCTTGTCAATCAACAATTTGCTGGGGTCATCCTCCGTCTGCCAGGCAAGTAGGCTGGCAATGACCTATGGTTCCATGTCTGATAATAGATATGGGACAGTAAGTGGTGCATTTTCTGGTGTCAACAAGACACTATTTGCAGTATAATACATGTTGACTATCTGGGGGTCCCTTGGCATGTGCTGTGTACACACACACACACACACACACACACACACACACACACGAGAGAGAGAGAGAGAGAGAGAGAGAGATGTTACATGTTTTTCACTAGTGGCCCCTTGAAATATCGAAGGATTCATAGGGCTCCCAGTTGAAAAGTTCTGGTCTAGACATTAACTTAGTCTGGATGTTTTCTGTTTTCCAGATGCAAAAACAAACTTTTTGTGTGCTTCTTTTTAGCTTCGGAACCCATGGATGTGGATGGTAGAGCCAAAGGATACATCAAAACTGAACTAATCTCTGTATCTGAAGTGTGAGTTTGCCAAGAAGAGAACAGAGTGCACTTTGAAAGTACTGGGGTGTCACCTTTAGCTCTGGCCAATGTCACACTGTGACAGGATAGAAGCATTCTTCCCAAGATTGCTCAGGGGCTCTGGTTGTGTACTTTCAGTGTGACCTCTGGGAACCAGCATACCGAACGGTGGTCTTGGTTCATGCCTGTGCTGATTCTGGAAGCTAAGATTTGGACCACCCTCCCTTTCCCTACCACCAGCACCAATAATCAAGTTTGCAGGACACTGCCACCGCTTGCCCACTCTTTGTTCTTGCATAACATGTCCAAATAAAGTTTTGGATTTTGGATAATGATATAATGTGGCTCTTTGGTTTTTAATAGAGTTTTTATTGGAAAAAAAATCAGACTTCCTCAGTTTATTGGGGGGGGGGTGTCTGAGTGTGTAATAAGGTTGATGGCAGTATTATAATTTATTGGCTGGAGAAGAGGTGGGTTGGGGGAGAGGATGAAGAAAAGGGATTGAAATGGCAAATACTTGTCCCAGGTCAGGGTCCTTAAAGGGGAGGAGGATGGTGAGCAGAGCATTCACAGTGAAAAGCCTGGCTGGTTGCTTTCAGATAGCCTTCCTTTCCACTTTCCATTCCTGCTTGACTGCTGCATGCTAGTCTCCCACGTCAAGTCTCTTCTGCTTCCCCCAGTTCAATTGTTGGCTGTATGTTTCGTGTGTGCTGTATCATCCCTGGCTTCTCCTAGCAATGCCCTTTTTACAGCAACCAAACAAACTGTTCCTTTCCTGCAAATATTCTTTAAAACGTTTCCCTAAAGTAGGCTTTAAGCTTATTGACATGTACACAAAAAATGTACACAGTGCATTTGTACCTTTTCCAGTTTTTATGTAATGATCTTAATATTGTTTAAGTTGCTTTTCCATCATAAAAGTCCTTAAAGCAATTGGCTTGCAAATAATTCTGACTAGTATACAAGAAATAATTTCTTTCAGTGTCATGTGCGACATCTGGATTTGGGGAGTGAAAGAAAAAAGATGTAGCTCTTCACAGGTCTCCTTGGATGATCTTGCTGGTTGTAGGTGGACATAGAGATTTCAGTTAAGAATGTTCCTTAAATTCCACCTCCTCTAAATCTGTCAGGAAACCAAAAGGACATTTAATCTATCAGATTTGCATATGATTTAAACTGGTTTAGAGAGAAACTGTTAGTTTTCCAATTGGGAGGGGGGTTGTATGAATAATCTACACCAGGGGTGTCAAACTGCCAGCCCGCAGGCCAGACGCGTCATCTGGAAGCCGCGCCCTCCCCATTGCCGGCAATGACAATGGCAAAACCGTCCCAATACGTTGCGCGACATCACGTGACGTCGCGAGTTTGACATGTCTGATCTACAGTATGCAATGTTTTAGAAAAAAAGGAACCTTTTGCTATGTGACAGTGAAGGAAGAAAACCCTAAACAGGTGCCTGTAGAGTGCGTTGAATCATAAGCTAATATGTTTATTTTGCAGCTCCTTTGGGATAATGCATTCCCGCAAATCGTGGCCAGGTTCAGTGTTGCAGGGTCTTTTAAGCTAGCAGGGAGGGGGAACTTCTATACCAAATGTAGCAACCTTAGAATCCAGCTGTCTTCACCTGCACATTTTGTCCATGACGGCGTTGGGGATAAAATATTCGCAAACATAACATCAACATCTCTCCTTTAAAAAAAAAAAAAAAAAAAAAATTGGCCAAAATAGTAGTGATACCTCTGGAATGACGGTACTTATCCTTGCTGCCTCCTTGCTGAATTCATTTGTGAAAGTCCTAAAACGCAAGTTCTGTGTTGCCTGAAGCAGGAAATGAATGTGTGCCTGCCATCCTCCTCAAATAGAAGTTTAATAGATTTCAGTATGAACTCAGGGACTAGCAGGCTCAATAGGCTGCTGGCTCAAAAGCAAGCCAATTGTGTTTCAGTGTGGCAAGAAGGCTCAATTATTGAATAGAGAATTGTTTCTAGGCAATATTGAGGGTTATCAGCAGGCTAAGCCTAGAAATAGTGATACTGAGACATTTTTTTTTGTGTTAGGACTAATGATCTTGTCCCAATTCATCAGAGAAATAATTTTTGTTTTTGTTTTCTGCCATACTTCAGCCACCCTTCCAGACTGCCTGGCCCTGAAGCCCTTCTGCCCATGTCCCCGGAAGAATTCGATGAGGTAGTACAAGCAGTAACTCCTGCAGAACTTATGGTGAGTAAATAACAATCGGGTTGTTTTGTGGTCTAACAATGCATTAAGCTGCTTTTGTAACAAGCCTGCCATCTCCAAGAAAGAATTGCGTAAGAAGCACTGTAGCTATCCTTGAAACATAGTATTGTCTATGATAACAGGTATGTCGTCCTTGCCACAAGGCAATTGATGAGTTCTGCAGGTACATTGTTTCAGTTGTCCCTTCCTGCCAGTTTGGGCCTTCCACTTGAAGTCAAAATTACAGCCCTGTTTCTATGTTAAGTGCACTTGTGATCTAACTTATCCTTAAAGACTTTTTATCTTATCTTAGCTGCAACAACGCTCATTGGAGCAAAACAGAATGGTGAGATTTTTTTTAACCTGGTAGCTCATATATGTTTTCTCTCTTACAGATGTGTACAGAATGTACGCCGTGAACCCTGGCAAGGCCGCTGGCATAAAGTTTTAGTGACTTTACCTGCAGGTGTCCTTACCTGCGGTTTCCAGAACCCATAGGAGTTTCATCACTTAATCTCTTTTAGAGGCTTTATATCTCGTAATGTTGTGTTTGATTTACTGGTTTACTGCAAGAGCAGCTTGAAACTTCAGAAATGCTTGCTTGCTACTAAAAATATTTAGCTAGCTACAGCGGTTCTCAACCTATGGGTCGTGACCCCATTTGGGGTCGATCGACCATTTCACGGGGGTCGCCAAGCAAGGCTGTCTGCCATTTTTTCCCCCTTTTCTGGCGGGTGCCTTACCTCCCTTGGGCTGGGCCAGCTGGTGGTCGGCCTGCTCCGTCTCTGCCGCTTGCCAGCTACGCCTCGGCCGGCGCAGGGGGCGGAACCACGCATGTGCGGCGCTCCCGGGCAGGGAAAGTCCTCAACTTACGACCGGTTGGGTATTCTCGACTTACGACCGGTTTAGTCCTCGACTTATGACCGGTTTAGTCCTCGACTTACGACTGGTTTAGTACTCGACTTACGACTGGTTGGGGGTCGCGGCATTAAAAAGGTTGAGAACCAGAGCTAGCAATCCTGTATGTAGCTGTTTTCATGGTGTCGTGTTCAATATTTACAGCTTTATATATAAGGTTGTTTAGGTTCAGTTGGACCCGTGTGTGAAAAGGTAGAAATCTCTAACTCCTCTGCAGAGCCTCTGGGTCTGAACAATTATCTTTTTATCTTGGGGTAGATGCTTGATAGTTATTGCTGCCATACCACTCTACTCTCGGGTTGCTGAGTCCTCCCCCTAACATTAGTTGGTCAGTAAGTTCCAATAACCTCTGCTGCCCTTCAGATGAATAAAAGGTAAAAATGAATTTCTATAATAGTTTCCTTGCGAGACTGGTAATGATTTCAATCGTCTTCTGCCCCCATTCCTCTCAAGCAATAAAATCTAAGAGTTTTTTGCTTAGAAAAAAAAATGGCTTAGAAGAGCCGTGGTGGCACAGTAGTTAGAATGCAGTATTGCAGGCTAATTCTGCTGATTGCCAGCGGTTCGATCGTCACGTGCTCAAGGTTGACTCCCAAGGTCATAAAATGAGGACCCAGATTGTTGGGGGCAATATGTTGACTCTGTAAACAGCTTAGAGAAGGCTGTAAATCACTGTGAAGCGGTATATAAGTCTAAGACAGAGGTCGGCAACTTTAAACATCAAAGAGCCATTTGGACCCATTTCCCACAGAAAAAAAAAAACACTGGGAGCCACAAAATCCTGCTGCTTCCCCCCCCAGGACTCCACTGCTACTGATGCTGCGGAGCGCCCTGCCGTTGCGCTTTTCCCTACCTCCCCCGTACGGAGCACCCTGCCGCTTTTCCCTACCTCCCCCACGCAGAGCGCCCCACCGCTTTTCCCTCCTACCTCCCCTGCACTGAGCACTCTGCCATCGTGGCTTTCCCCAGCAGTGAGGGTGGAGTTTGGGAGGCAGCAGCAGGGCATAGCCCAGGCATGGCCCAGCAGCAAAGCTCATCCTCCCCACTCAAGACGCAGCAGCAGAATTGCTCTCAATAAGGCGGGCGTACCCGGCTCTTAGCATGTTATTCTCTATCTCTTTGTCTCCGTCTCTCTGTCTCATTACAATGTTCTCTGTTTTTCAAATATTTTTATTAAGGATTATAAATGAAAAGAGTAAAAGTCGGTGCAAACTATAAAAACTACAAATAGAAAAATAGAAAAGAAAAAAGGGGAAAAAAGGACAGGAGAAAGAGGGGAAAAAAACACCCTTTCTCCTTCATCCCGACAGGTAAAAACAATTTTAGTACCTTATCTACCATCTTTGAATACAGCATAATTATCCCAATACCTCATCTCTTCATTAAAAAAAATCAAAATATTTCATTAAACATTACTAAAAGTCCAGTAAGGACAACCACATATATTTTCTCTCTCTCCAATATATCATTTAGCTCTGATAAAATAAGCCACATTTATAAATCTTCCCTTAATTTTTAAAGATAGGGATTAACTGCTTCAAAAAAAAAAACAACCCTAAAAAAAACTAGCTTGCTGTTCATGTTTCAAAACAAAAATCTTTCAAAATTTAAAAAATATTTTGTAAGTCCAATAATCCTTCATTTATCACTTCTCATGCAGTTTTTTTGCTCTCAATAAGGCGAGCAATCCCGCTGCTGCGCCTCTTTTCTTCAACCATGATCACCCCATCCCAGCCAGCCAGCCACCATCGCCGACCTACTCCTCACCTGGCCTTCTCGTCCTCCGCACTCAATCGGCTGCTAGCGGCTTGGGTGGCTCTGCTCCGTCCGAGTTGAAGAAAGCGGAGGCACAGCATAAAGCAGCTTTCTTCAACAGGGGGATCATGGCCACTCGGGGGCCTCTGCAAAGCCTCATGGCAGTGGCATTGGCACCTCCCCCGACCCAGCCCGTTTCCCCAGCTCCGTATAAGATGCTTGGCAGAACCCCCCCCTGCACCCGTGATCAGACCCACATGGTACCTTCTTTCCATCGTCTCTTCCACCGTCGCATGCAGTCCCAAAAAGAAAAGAAGTTTGTGGGCAGTCCCACAAACAAAAGAAGTGGGGCTAAAAAAGTTCAATCAATCAGTTCCAACTTTGCAAGATCTTTTTTTTTCGTGAGAAGTTGGAATTGATTGATTGAACTTTTTTAGTCCCACTTTTTTTTTTTTGTGGGACTGCAAATGGTGCCGGAGGACTGGGAGCCGCAGTAGAGGGATGAAAGAACCGCACGCAGCTCCAGAGCCGTGGGTTGCCGACCCCTGGTCTAAGGGCTTCTGCTATGCTAAGTTAACATTCTTTTTAAAAGTAACTCAAATACTGCAATTAATTCCAGTTTACAAAAACCGCATGCAGTTCTATTGGAAGATCATAAGATGGTGCTGGCTCACTGTAATCAATGATCTCAGGAGAAAGACTGGGATCAAGTTTCTAGCTCCCAATAAATATTAAAAGGAAAAGGAAAACTTGGAATCTCTGAAATTGCACAGAAAGTTCTACATGTGCAGAGAATAGGGATAAGAGAATAAGGGGTCCCTCATGTACGAAAATAATTATGATTTTAAGACAAAAGTCAAATTAGAGCGATTACCTGTTTCTTAGAGGTAACCTGAATCCTGAAGCAAAGCCCTTTGCTTTGTCCCTGAATCCTTTTGACCTCTTCAGATAATTTTAGCGACGTATCGAACTCATCAGATGGTAGGCTTAACTTATTTTTCCAAGCCTAAGCACCCCAGCAACTGCTTCCCATCTTCTTACTTTTCCAGAAATAGGCAAAGGAAATCCAAGTAAATATGGTTGGTGTTTCTATAGTGTTAAACCACGTGTAACGTGGTCTTTCTTACTGAGGGAAAGAAGGTTCTACCCACAAATATTATCAGAGTGCTAAGTAATTGGCAGTGCTTCAGAGCAGGGTGTATTATTGTATCATGTTGCCTGTAATGATCGTAGCTATTGCCAAGTAATTAATAAAGTGCATTTATTGCAGTTTTCTATGACTTTTTTTTTTTATGCTGGCCCCGCTTAACAGCAACATTGCTCCCTTCCATATTTACCAAACGCTTCTTTAGAAAAACCAAAGATTGCCCCCTTATATATTAAGGACAAAAAGGTAGATTTAACTACGTTTTAGGGCAATGGCACCACAAAGGACAACCTTACAACACAGTGTACGCTTCCACAGAATGCAGACTAGATGTGGAAAAAAAAATCCAAGTTTACTACCTTTATTTATTTAACTTTTATTTTATTTGCCTGTTTATTGTTTTAAAATGCAATGCATTTGGATTTGTAATCCTGAAAATAAATCTTACCTTCAGAATGGTTACACTCAAGTTTAAGTCATGGGAAAATGGTGACAAGCAAAGAATACATTCATCATAGTTTATTCCCTATAATAAAGCCAAACGTCAAGCCAAATCAGTCACAATAGCTCATCAGGTCAGTAAAGTCACTGATAATCCTGCCCTGAAGCTAAAAATGATGCCAGTCCACTGCAACACAAACACACACACACACACACACACACACAAATGAGATAGAGTAAGAGGACTGTAGTACTAAGGTATAAATAAAGCTCACTTTTAGAGGTAATAAATAAAATGTTTAAAATTCACTGTTGCATTATTTTTTTGGAATGAAACCATGAAAGGCAACAGCAGAACTGAACTGAAGATAATGTAACTCCACATATAAGTAAACTAACTCCAGGAGCTACAAAGATTATGAAATACAACACATAAGGAAAAAGCTATACTATAGTTGCAAGAGATTGGTAGGTACTAAGTAATTTTGGGTTTGTTTGGTTTTTTTTGTAATGGCTAAGGGAAAAATAAGCTGTTGGGTAATATGGCCATTTTTTAGGTGTTGGTTATTTTCTTCAACATTTTTATTTGGTTTTAAAGCAAATAATGGTCAATATGGCCAAACTGTAACTGAAAGGACAAATGTGAAAGAAGGTGGCACTGTGAATGAAATGGAAGGGCAAAAGGGACAAAAAAATAATAATTGACCTTGTGATGCCTTCTACTTAAAAGGTGAATTCCCAGTTGAAAAATCATCAGCATAAATGAGTTTTAACATTTTCATTGAGCAACAGCCAGTTTAGCAGTATACATACAGTTTATAACCAAAAACAAATGTGATCACAATGTTTTGCCATAGGTCATAGTTCACCATGGGGAAAACTTTCAGCCAGTTGAATGAGGGGGGGGGAGTAAGACAAAGAGTCTATAGGTGCAGTATTCTCTACTTACATTCTCCTACGTTGTTTGGTCAAATAAGATTCCCTGATAAAAACACTTGGAACAAGAGCTAAGCCCAGGTAGCATCCGTCAGTTCATATGTAAGAAATTACATGATGTAAGCAGGTATTGTGGGAAAACATCTGAGTGCTTTATGTTCCAAGATGTCAGATTGAATCCACAACAGCAACAAATCTCGAAATCTAGCAAGACGACAACTATGTTGGCTCAGGTATACTTGCTGACAGCTTTCTTAGGAAGTATCCATGTATACACAGCAAGCAGGACAAAAAAGCTTCATGAGTATGACCATGGAGTAAAGCTTCATGGAGTTATCCCTTCCCCTCCCCACCCCCCTCAAAAAAACCCCTGTGCGTATAGCCAACAATAATTTCTATCACTTGCACGTAGCACAAGGTAATATTGCTCACATATGAATAGTTGGGGGTTTTTTTTCTGAAAAAGAAACTATTGTTTTTTGTGTGCAACAAACAAAGCTGCTGTAACATTGGAACAAAGCAGTACTCTGGAAAATATACATCACTATCCAACAGAAACACACTCTTCATAATCATTTTCCACAATTAAATAGATCGTTAACTTTGAATCTCAGTCAGAAGAGTGTTATAGTAAGCCATCTAGGTTCTTCTGTACAGTTTGACTTTCTTTTCCGTTACTAGAGTTGTCGGGAGGGGTGTACTGAACTTGATATTCTTGAAGAATTTTGAATACATCGTGATGTCCAAAGTGCAAAGCTTCATCCATAGGTGTATTGTTCCATCTGGAAGACAATTTTAACAAGAGGTGGTAGGTACGTTAAAGGTATCTCAATCTCCAACAAGCTCTTAAGTCAGGCATGTCAAACTGCCGGCCCACAGGCCGGATGCGTCACACCGAAACCGCACCCACCCCATTGCCGGCAATGGGGGGAAAGTCCCGATACGTCACGCGACATGACATCGCGAGTTTGACATGCCTGCTCTAAGTTAACATGATGATGAATTTATACAAAGATTTCCATCCTCCCCTTCTAATGAACACACATCTCTCTGTTTAGCTTCTAAAACGAATGCTGCCTGTAGAAACAAAATCCCTTCCTGAAAAGTGGGTGCCCATCTGGCTTCCCAAAAACGGAGTTTCAGCTGAGCCTGTCTCCTTGCATATTGGAGACTGACTGGAAGTTATGCTGTTTGATGGGCTTCTTTACCACAGACCTCTTAAAACCTCAGCTCCTTCCTTCAGTGAAGCATTCTGTACTCACTTGGTCAAACCAGTCTTGGATAGCTTAATCAGGGTAAACCATAATTTGTTTGGTGTACCAAGTATCCTGTCTTCATCTTCAGTTTGAATGAATGCATGTCAAGTCCTATTTTAATATGATGGAAGGACAAGGAAACACCACAGGTGTACTATAGGACCCGCTATTACCAAATAGTCCAGGTTGAAGCCAACTGGAGCAATTTTATCTGAGGCTCTAGCAAATGCAACTTTGAAGGCAACTGCAATGTCTTCCTAAGCTTTACTAGGTCCTTGATGCAATTGACTTTTTATGATGAGATGATTATATGGATACAACGGTGGTAGCAAAGAACAACTGATTTTTCTGCCCTAAAGACAAAACATGAGTTTTGTCTGATGCTTGACTGAATTCCTCTGAATTTTATTCTACTGTCTATTATTTGGTCTTGCTGTTTTATGGTCCTAATCCCTTGGAAAACCAAAGAAGCCATTTGATTTAGCAAGCAGGAGCAATTAAACAAATCATTTCTCTACCCTACATATCAGGGTTTCAGTGATATCATTGACTGTGACTGAAAAGGCCCCACAGCAGCCAAGAAAACTATCCAATTTTGATTTTGAGGGCAGCCTTTTCTAATAGATTCACTACCCAACCCCATACTGCCTTTCTATACCTTGATCATTGTCTTCCTATCCTGGATAATGAAGCAAACCAACAATGTGGCTTTTCATTTAACAAGGCCAGATATTACTTATGGTTGGCTGCATAGTCAGCCAGCGGTTGAGACTGGATTTGGCGTTTTTATCCACCTATTACATCCTTCCCCCAAAACTGGGATAAGGGTATCATCGCAAGGATGTGGGATGTTCCAAGTAAAGCTGATTTTGCAATGAACTGATGGGGATTTTGTCAGTACCAATGGTGTTCAAGTGGTGCTTCAGATGACGTGGAACTGCACCCAAGGTGCCTGTGAGTACTATATTTGCTTTCTTTTGCCATAGTCATTCTACTTCTATTTTCAGATCTTTGTATTTTGGGATTTTTCTCCAGTTCTTTCTCTTCTCTACTGCTGTCTTTTTGATACTGCAACATCCACTATCTAAACTTTCTTGTCTTTCTTACTAACAATTGTTAAATCTGGGGTTATTATTATTATTATTAACTAGCTGTACCCAGCCACGCGTTGCTGTGGCTCAGTCTGGTAAAAGCGTGTGTTGCTTTTACGTCCAACAGATGGCGCTGTTTTTTTAAAAAAGCATGTTTTTACCTGTCACAGGTGTGACATCTATATAATATAGGTATATAAAAACACGCGCGTATTCGAATGCAATGTTGTGTCAAAATTTCAAAGCAATCGGTGAAGAACTTTCGGAGATTTAAGATTTTGAACAAACGAACATTTACATTTTTATTTATATAGATTGATTTTGTGGCTTTGAATCATCGTCAACTCCTGGCAACTGCCTGGACAAGTCCCTGCAGTTTTCTTAGCAAGGATTTTCAGAAGTGGTTTGTCACTGCCTGCTTCCTAGGACTGAGAGAGAAGAACCGGCCCAAGGTCACCCAACTGGCTTTGTGCTTAAGGCAGGACTAGAACTCACGGTCTCCCAGTTTCTAGCCTAGTGCCTTAATCACTATGCCACACTGGATCCAGATATTATATGGGATAGCTTAATGATTGCCATTCTAGCCAGAAACCTAGACTGGTTGGCTTCACTCAGGACGAAGACTACAATTGCCCATAATTACTAGATTTGTGGACTTCAGGAATATATCTGAAATGGCATTCACTGTCTTTGCAAAAAAAAAATATCTAGCAATCTAGACCAAACTCTTGAACTCCGACAGATGTATTTTCCTTCCTTACCATCTTCTTAATGTTTTGACTTTATCAAAAATTCTAGCCTGGTTATCAAAAATAGACTGTGTGTCTCATGATCACTACAGAAACTTCCATATTTTGTATGTTTTGTTCAGAATAGGGACAGGGAAGACTATTCTTAAATAGCAAATGGCAATTGAGCTTAAAATGGAAGCTTCTTAAAATACCTTGCCTTTCTAGGAAAATTATGGTATATAATTTGGAAGCAGGCATTTAAGAAATAGCTCATGTTCATGGTTAAATAGAGAGAGAGAAAGAAAAAAAAAAAAGACGTGAACTGCACCAGGCCTGAACATCCCACTTCACAATTCACACTACTGATTATTTTTTGTTCCATCCAAAGTGGTGTTCTATCACCAACAGAAGCCTTAATATAACTGACCCAATCCTAAGGTCTTCAAGTTCGTTTATTTAACTTTACTTGCTAAATGAATTGATGCTAGACGAGACTGTTCTGTCTGCAGCAATGTTGAAAAGCCATAAAACTAAAGGAGAAATTCAAATTAAAGCTAATGATTAATTTTTGTAAACCAAGAATGGTGTAAGTACACATACACATCTCAGGAATGTTAACTGTGGGGCATTCCAACTCAGCGTTTCACTTAGATGAACTTAAATCCAGTGAACTCAGGCGGTTGAGACTTGCCTCCTGTACTCAATAAAAATGGGGTAACTGTGTTAACTTGCAAGGAGAGGCATGTGTGCTGACAAAATAATAATAATCTGGAGCGTGTTTATTTAAGATCTACCACTATATTATCTGGGTGACTTTGGGCCAGTCATTCTCACTCAGCCCTAGGAAGAGGGCAATGGCAAGCCACTTCTGAGATCTTGCCAACAAAACTGTAGGGTCTTGTCTAGGCAGCCGACAGGAGTCAACACTGCCTCAAAGGCCAACATATGCATATATGTTATTATACTGTTGCCTTGATCCCTTGACATCTCCCACCCAAAGGATTCTACGTTTTGCTCTGTAAATAAGTCCAAGGCTTATTCCATTTCCACATCTCAACCCCAATACTGTACACAAAGATGTAATTGATGACTAACTTAAAGAGGCAGAAGTTTCATGTAATTGATGACTAACTTAAAGAGGCAAATACTTTGTGTAAAGTATCAGATTTTTAGGGTATGAATTCCTTGCAGCCTACTGCCTATGAAGCCAGTGCTAGCATGCGTCATTTTTAACAAAATTAATTAATTCTCTACTATACTTTTCATGCAGATGCTCACCTGTCTTTGGGGAAAGGATTCACTTTGCACGCTTCCAGCAAAAATTTAACTACCTCTACATGACCTAAAATACAAAAAAGACATAAGTGCATAGACTCATTATATTCCCCATACCCAACTATAACAGCTAGTTTAGATATTATTCACGGTCCCAACCTTCTGCAGCTGCTACGTGCAAAGCTGTTCGAGAATCATAGTCTCTCTGTTCCATATCCATACCCGACAAGGCAAACCTGAAAATTGGAAGGAGAAGAAATCTGATCACAAATGACAGAGTTAAATTATCAGCTGCTCCTAAACATTTGGTCCATCAGGATTGTTTAAAGTTGGCTGCCATGGGATGAAGCACTTGCCCTTTAGGAAAAGAATTCCCACACTGGGAGGGGCAGCAATCAAGCCAAAATGTCGGGGGGGGCATGGAGCCCACAGGGTGCCAAGGGAATCTCTGTTTCCACTGGTCCCATGTGGGGAACTGCATTGTAGCATGGTCCTCGGACACAATATTTGGACTATTGTTCAATCCTGATTAAAACTGGAAGCCTTCTTCAGTCTTATGTTATGCTGAAGTAGAGGGGAATTGAAGAACTGCATCAAGCACTGAATTAATTTTAGCTCCTCGGTGTATTTCTCCCTTATGCTATTTTATGCTTTCTTTCCCCGTCCCATTGCGTCTATCATCTATCCACAAATTCTTTTTGCAAAGTCTACTTTTGCTATCAAATCCTCTTTTAACTAATAGTGGCTTATCCAGCCATCAGTCAGCCGCACATAGAAAGACAGCTTAAAGGCATTTACTCTATTTGGATGAAACTCAGCAAAATCTGAGGCCTCTGGGCAGACTGAGTCCCCAATAAGTTTCCAAGCATTCCAGAGCAACCAATCAATCAACTTTTAATTTCTTTCAACCACCGGGATATGACAGAGGCAGCCTGACCAACTAAGGCAGAGCTAAAATAAAGGCAGAGCTACCACCATCATTTTTACCACTGCATATTTCCTTAGATTTTTCTCTGATCTGACTCTTCTCCTCTTCAAATGTCCCACTTCACACCTCCAGCTTCCAGCACACTTGATATATAGCCTTCCAAGCTGGGCTTTGAACTGATTTCCCCACTGGACAAGCAGATTGGTAATAATAGATGGAAATGAGCTTAGGAGCCAGGGGGAAGAGCCACACCCAGAGTATGGTCAGACAAGAGGCAGCTTAGCCTGCCAAAGGAATGTGGGCGTGGCAAACAGATGAGACACACACACCCTAGTTTTTTGGGCGGTAAAGATGGGATAGAGGTCGGAGACAGAGAGATGCATTTTGAGACTTGCAGGATTCTGTTAATGTAACCTTACAATAAAGTAAAATTAGTCCATCTGGTTGTGTTTGCTATCTAGACTATCTTGCAAGGCTGACAGGATTCCTCCACAGCAAAGCAGATCAAATCCAGACAGTGCTTGAATGGGAGAGCCTCAGGCAATTTGAACAGGGTAGTAGATTGGGAAGGAAATGAAAGTGCTTCCAAAAGGCAAACAACTTCTGTACTGCTGCCAAGAAAAGCAGCAGTGTGTGTGTGTGTGTGTGTGTGTGTGTGTGTGTGTGTGTGTGTTAACAGCAGTTAAGCTTGACTTGGGGAGTCTTTCTCATTTCACAGAGGAGGAAAGTTTTGGGGGAGCAGGGATGATGGATGGGCATGTTAAGAAATTGTAACTGTCTTCTGCAAGTGAACGGGGATAAAATAAAATTTGTCCTATTTGTTCTGACCAATTGATTGGGTTAACCGTCTCTATGGGAAGAGAGGATTCTCCACTTCAGTGAATCGGAATTTTGTATTGAGGGGAGGAGGAAGGAAGAGGGGTTGCTTTAATTCTGGGGGGGAAAGGCCCCTTTGATCCCGTGTTTATTTTGACAAGTGCACGTGCATGTATGAATCCATGCATCGAGAATGGCTGAGACACAGAATTACAGGAGACACACATTTTATTTAAGTGTAACCATCTTAAGCAAACATTGCCTTCTAAGATTGACTTTACCTTCTAAGTGCAGACACATCTCCTGTATATGCAGCAAACAACAGATTTATTACAGATTTCACCTGAAAGAAAGGAAAGAAAAATTATTTATGAAGTTATTGGCATAGAGGGAAAATGTGTGGGTGATGATGACATCCCCATACTTATATTAAAAATTGTCTCATTTTGCTGTCATTTTGTTTGTTATGGAGACCTCTGGTGTTGGGGCAGGCTTTTTTTGGGGGGGGGGGGTTGAAAGGAGATAGAGTAATAACCATTGTGAGAAATATCTAAATCTATTCTGTCAACCTGATTGGGCCTTAAGGTCAATTTAGGATTATACATATTCTCAGTGCTTTTTTTTCTAAAAAAAAATCTGATCTACTTAACTTTGACCATTTTTGTGCTTCAGAACAATTTTATGGTCTAAATTATGACAATATTTTTCCTTTCACAAAATGAAATATTTTACGCAAGCAGAGCTCCACCATCCTCATAGGTATCAGTAGTTATTCCCATTCCTAGAAAATATCCCGCAATGGCCTGGGCATTAAAAAAAGAAAAGAAAATCACATGCAGAATCATCAAATATCTTTAAATGATCTTGTGAGCATTCATTAACTTGTCTGAGAGCTTGCGTAAGCTTAGACCTTTGCTCCAGGTGAGAGATTTAAAAGCCTATGCAGTATCAAGGTTGGGGAAAATGATTGTGGAACTTCTTTGCGAGGTCAGAAACATCTGATTTATTTATTTTATATCTCACCTTGTATTACTTTTAAAAATAACTCAAGGCAGTGAACATATCTAATTCTCCTCCTTCCATTTTCCTCACAACAACAACCTTGTGAGCTGGGTTGGGTTGACAGAGAATGACTGGCCCAAAGTCACCCAGTTAGCCCTCATGTCTAAGGTGGAACTAGAACTTATGGTCTCCTGGTTTCTCTCCTTCCCTTTTGTGAATCCTTGTCCTTAATGCCAGATCAGTCTCAACTTTTCTTTGTACAGACAAAGAGGACAGTCCCCCTCTCCATATACAAAGAGATATGAAGCCATCTAGAATGAGTGGAGGACTGTGAGAATGAAAAAGACCAAACTTTCCGTGATTGATCTCACCTCCATTATTATATATTTAACTAGCTGTACCCGGCCACGCATTGCTGTGGCTCAGTCTGGTTAAACGGAAAAGAGAGAATTGGAAATTTGGAAATTGTAAATGGATGGTAAATCGGAAAGATTGAAATGGAATCGTAAAATCGTAGCATGTGTTGCTTTTACGTCCAACAGATGGCGCTGTTTTTCAAAAAAAGCATGTTTTTACCTGTCGCAGGTAGGACATCTATATAATATAGGTATATAAAAACACGCGCGTATTCGAATGCAACGTTGTGTCAAAATTTCAAAGCAATCGGTGAAGAACTATCGTAGATTTAAGATTTTGAACAAACGAACATTTACATTTTTATTTATATATATATAGAATATAGATATAGATATAGATATAGAAGATAGAGTCTACTATGGTTGTCAAGGAAACTCCAATAGTTTCCATGAAAATCACAATTGTGCAAATAAACAACATCTATTTGCTGATCTCCCCCAAAGTGGAGACAAGAGAGGTTGGAAGGAATTCTGTCCCAGACTTCCTTCTGATGAGTTGGATTTGGAGCTGGGGTTTTTTTCTGGCATTTCTACAAAATGCTACATGTATTGCTGTCAAATTGCCAGCTGTTATGGCCTCCATTCAGCTCCTATCATAAAGAATTTGTAGCTCCTGAACAGCTCAATTCTTTGTCTTATACCTCATATATTGAAGAATTTGCAACCACAAATGAGATCCAAGGATGTGGGAAATTACAGCCACTACTAAAGTCAGATGCAGTTGTAAATATGATTCAAAATGTGACTTATTTACTTGCACGGGCAGATAAGAGATAAAACAGTCCTTGACCCTTTTTCCTTAGATACCCAAAGTCAATGAGAAATTAGTCGAGGCATATGAGATAACAATACATTCACAAAAGTTCAGTGTTCCCAGAAAGCAAGTTAATTAAAACAATTTTGGCCCAGTATTTCAACTTTTCTAACCTTCTGGAATAACAACCTAGTAGCTTCTTTACTTACATTGCTCAGAGAGCAAAAGCTATAAAAAGTTGAAGTTTCAATGAGACACAAATCTTACAGGAATCATCTTCATCAAAAACATTTATAAAATAATGTTAAACAAACCCATAATGAAGAAATTAAAACCAACCCACAATACTAAAAGTGCTATAAGAGTGTAAGCTATAAAAGGAGTCAGGTTTTGAATATTATTATTTAAAAACTCTGGATTAAATTTGTCCCAGAATTAAAGTTAATTAGTTCAACTGAAATGGTACTCAGAAATGCATTTACCTCTCAAAATGAGAATTTGTACATGCACAGAACAACCAAAACAATTGACTGGCAGATTACTTAAATTTGCAAGGGAGAAACAGAAAAAGAAGGGGTACAAAAAGATATGGAAACATGTCAAATAAGAAATTGAGAAAAATTTAATTACTGAAGAAGCATGATATACAAAACCCAATTATTAGTCCACAAATTTATTTTCTTGCTTTTTCAATTTATTTCTTCTTAATATCATTATGATAGTTACTGCACAGATTCTTTTTTGAAAAATTAATGGAGGTTAGAAGATAGGCGGCTATATAAATATTTTAGATTAAACACATAAAATAAATAAAGCAGACTACACTGATTCAAGAAAGCACTAGTTTTTCCTATTACTTTCTTTCAGGAAGCTGCTCAGAAATTCTCAAATGAATACAGTGGTACCTTGGTACTCATTGTTAATTGGTTCCGGGGGGCATGACGAGTACTAAAAATGACGAGTGCCAAATAAACCACAATGTTTGATACATGACCCTTTGTTTCAGCCGAAAAGGGTAGCAAGTAACATGGCAGCCCACACTGACAAATTCTACCTTGTATGACAAGTACCAAACAAATGACATGTACTGGGACAAAATTTTCACGTCAAAATGAGTTGAGTACCAAATTTGATGAGTTTTAAAGCAGTCGAGTATCAAGGTAGGACTGTAATTTCTAACGTGGTCAGCTAGTCTTCATAATGTCCTTAGAACGCAAACTTCCCTGTGGGGTTCAAAACTGAGTGATCCCTTTCTTTGCCTCAAACCTGAAGCTCTACGCAAATAAAAAGAAATCCCTAGAATGAATTTGTCTTGCTTAAAGCTGAATTAATTTTCTAAAAATTTAATGCCTGCCATCTCAGCCATTTAACCTTTGCTTTGCTTTCTTGCCAACTCCACTTTTGGCTCTTAGAAAATGTTCCAATCCTTTAGATTTCAGATTAAACACAGACACTCTTATTTTCCATTTCCTCATGCTGTCAAATGAAGGGAAGCAGAACGAGTAAATGTCTGATTAGAGGAATGTATACTTATTTCACAAACTAGAGTAGCGTTCGCCAGAATTTTCTTGACACAAAGGAATCCTAATCCATGCCAAATATTTAACACTTATTAATAAGAGAGTGTGTTGTTCTTGAACAATATCCATTTCATTCTTTAAACATGTATGATCTGTCCCGATTAACTAAATTCATTGAGCAAGCACATACTGTTGTTTTGGGCTGGGGCACCGTTGGGAATTCTGAAAAGATCTGGTGGCTGCGATCCGAAAACGGCTGCCGTGAGCAGCTTACCTATTCACAAAACGATTGGGATGTAAGCATAGTGAATCACAACCCCATTTATCAGAAAGCAAACTAGTCCTCAGGACTCCTCAGCCACACAAGTGGGAAGAGGCTTTTTCAGGGAGGAATGGTCAAACAATGAAGATGATGGCCATGGCCATGCAGTCAAAGCTCTGACCCTATTTAATGTATGTTGCATGCATATCACATGTGAAAAAGAGCAGGATTTCAATTGTGGGGTTTCTGCTGCCTTCTTGACTTCGTTGATCCCTTCACAGATGCTTATGAGCCACGTTCTGGGTTCCAGAAGCATTCTTGTACATCAACACAGTGTGGAGTTACTACTTTGTTTTGCAGATTCCAATTTCCTTTAAAAAAAAAAAAAGCAAAAGTCTCTCTTGGAAACTAAGGCCAAGCAGGTCAAGGAGCCTATTTGCATCAAAAGAGCAGGCTGTAGCCTCATTTTGCACATACCTACTTGCTATGTGCTGCTCATCCTTAACTTTCTCTTTGGGCTACAAACACAGATAGAACTGGGGAAATAGGGACTGGCTCCAACTGAAACAGTGGCCTTCTATAAGGCATCACTTTCACAAAACCATCCTTGATTTCAGTGGCATATGAAGCCCACAGCCCAATTCATAAGCAGTCAAGTGATCAAACGTCTACTAAATGAACTCCGTTGGGAGCAAGCAACCCAAAGTAGAAAATGCTTCAACAGCTGATGCCCGCTCAAGGACTTTGCACCTATTATTAACAGGAGATGCCTTCCATAATCCAGCTCAAAGTGGGATTAACTCAGATATGCAAAGAATAGATCCTCTCCTTTCTGAGATGAATGTGCTTCCTGTGGAGTTGGGCTATGAATATTCCACATTTGTAATTCTCTCCATCCCATAGTGAATAAAGGCAATCCCCAAGAATTCCAGGATATTAATGAGCAATACCCTACTTAACTTTGGGTTTCTTTAAAAAAAAGGAGGGAATGCAGAAAAGAATTTATCTTCCTGTGCCTTTAATAACCTGGATTAAATTTCATCCATGCTTGGAGTCAGAGTAGCTTAAAAAAAAACTGGCTAGCCTAACATTCAGCTTCTTCATGCGTGGACTGTTTGCAATGCTGCAAAGATTGGAGGAACAAAACAGGAAAACCTTTGCTGCCTGTTCATTGAAAACCAATGACTTCATCCAAAAGGCTTTTGGGGTTTATTTTTTTCCCCCTCCATTGTTTCAATGGGCTGTCTAAAGCAGGGATTTGCGCACGCTATCTCTTCATTCCTGGACTGTTTAGTTGGGGAAGCTGAATGAATGCTAAACCAGGAATGGCTCCCGGAGCCCTTTCAAGTGGTCTGGTGGGATTCTGACATTCCGCTGGCCTGGGGACAT